TGTAAAGAAAACAAAAGATGCGTTTTTCTTCTCTCCGTTGTTTTCAACCTACTTTTCTTCTTTTTATAAACGTTTCTTCTACTCATAAGAAAAACCGAATTTGTTTGGATGCGACTTATTTCATATCTAGAAGACTTCACGCTTTTTCGCTTCAAATGGCACTTCGTGTTGTGTGTCAAGATTATAACGCCAGAAAAAAAAAACATAGACGCATAGAACTACCTTTGGCTTTATGACGCTTAATTGCATGAACAGGTAGTCACACCAATTCATTAAAAAACTGAAGAAATACTAACAACTTTCCCACATACTGAACGAGCACGAAAAGGCATCAATCGCAATCATCATGAACAAGCACAAAAAACTTCAAAGCTCACTCCGCAAAGGGTTGAAGCATTAAAGGGCCATTTTATCGCGTAAAAGCGGATTCCTGGCACGATGCATATTTCTACCGTAGGCATTGCCAAACTTCACATTCCTTTGAAGAACCCCTAAAACTGCTTTTATTTAAGTGATATATAAAGATTTATACGGATATGTTTTACAGATAATTGGTATCATTTTGAAATTGATATTTTCAATATTGGTCGAGATATCCTTTCTTTGAATATTCTCTTATATAACTTTGCTTATTTCGCCTTTTGTAGTTGCTCGATTTGTTGCAATGACGAAACGTCGCCCTTCGAATAAAAAGCCGACGGGAGTCAATACCTCTCTTGGAAAATCACTTACGAATGAACGTGAACGAGTTCGAAAAGCACATCAACGATCCAAGTACGATGCTGAAGAGATCGAAAATCCAGCATTTCTAGAGGCTGTAGGCTTTTGTTCTTAATTGTCTTCTAATTGACTCTGATGTTTGGTGAATCTGAATCTTCTTCAGGAATCGAAGAAATGCATAGATTCTATCACTGATGAAACAAGTCTTGAAGAGTTTTTGGCAAAAGCACAGCTTGCTGGCACAGAATTTACTGCAGAAAGAGAACAAATTCGCGTTGTCGAGAAGTTAGTAAGTATTTGGTGCCTTATATATCTTTTTTAAGATCTTGAAATTATTGTTACCTCTTTATTTATTGGACTTGTTTTGAGTTTATGAAGTTTTCTGTAATCTTTTCGATTTATTTACAATTTATGTTGCTGTTTTAGAGACTCTGCAGTGGTTATTCCTTCCCGAGTACAATATGAGAACAATCTCGAATTACAAAAGCAATTTGAACATCGTCTTAGAATTCCTCGAAGACCTCCCAAAGATCTTTGGAATACTGCAGAGGAGTTGACTAAGTTTGAGAATGAAGCGTTTCTGAGATGGAGGTCAGATTTGTCAGAGTTACAAGAGGTGCGGTTTATTCTTGTCTGCAAAGGCGTAAAAACGTAATTG